CTCTAATAACCCACCTCCAGTAATATTTATATGGCTTGAGAAGTTCGTGCCTGTAAAAATACTACTACCACATGTTATTGACCTTGAATAACCACGGAGAACACCTACGCCTGAATTGTAACGGCACATATTGCGATATCTTGGTCATGATTGTCAGCTTGATGATACAGAACAGTATCATCCACTATACTCACGGTACACTGCCTACAATACAATAAGATATAATATACAGAAGACACTATTACTCACCTCCATAAATTACGTTGTGAGCTACCATGTTATTACGTTCTTCGGTTGCCTTGGTTTCGTTTATCCATGACGGTTGATTCCAGTGTTCAGGGAGAATAAGCCCGAACTCAACGCGAGCGTCGGTGAGCGCTGACACGCGACTTGGATGAATGCATAAGTTTTATATTGGAGCACTGACATCGGAAACCTACGTCTTGAACTTTTCTTCAAACGGATTATCATTGAGGAACACGTATGGATATTGAAACTTTTTATTGAACCGATCTTCTACCTGCTTCACGCTGTTTAAGACGCCCTTCAAATCGCCGTTGCGAGCTAGAACACTTTTCTAAGGACCTGTGAGAATGTAGGAGAAAAGGTCCTAACCTAGCATGACAATAGCCGCATTTGCTTTCCGCGCAGGAGGTGAAGTCTGATTATCCTTCAAGTAGTATTCATCTGGGATAGGCTGCTTATATGGGGGCTTGGCTTCTTGAAATTGGTTCGTAATTTGGTTCCAGGAAGTTGCACGGCCATATCCCTCGTGCGAGATGCTCAGAACGAAATGGAGCCCAACCTATACTCTAGTCAGCGAGCATATGCAAGCACGAAAACCGAAAACAAACAATGATTGCTAGGGCCAGAAGGACATAACGCATAGGCGTCATCATCTTTGGCCAGAGAAAGGTGAAGATGGTAGCCGAGATGCAATTGCAAGTTTATCGTGTACGTCTTCCGAACAAGCCAGTTGTCAGGTACGCGTGGACTGCGATCAGTTCGTACAAACATGATGACATTTATAATTAGAGCAACTCTGTTACAAGTTTCGACCTCTATCTAACAAAATTTAATAAATACATTACTGCATCAGACCTACTAATAGTGCCAATCATCAAGAAAACATCTTTTCGTACCTGCTTATACAGGAAGCGGGTACGTAGTCTATCATAGCCGCATTAATAAATGTACATGTAGAGAAGTTTGTTCTTACCAAAGCTATCGTTAGAGTCGCAGGAACACCGGCCTTTCTCCCATACCTCTCCAGCGGGACAGTGTTGAAAATACTCGTGTTTATACCCTATATCGCGGAAAAAATGAACTTGATCTTTTCGTGCAAATAAAGACACCGCAATGCTATGCACAGGCGCATCTCCCCATCTCTACCGATAAGTCAATTGACTGATTCTGGTAAATTGAGTATGAGCTAACCTCGTAATAAAATCCGCCTTTTGATTCCAAATATTCGAAATATTTTTGATATGCTTCACTACGCCAGAAATCCATGTCAGCGATTTCGAAATTACTCCAATCTTTGGGAGTGTTAGCTCCGCCGAGGACAGCATATAGAGATTCATACAATGACATAGGTTATATGAATTTCCGTCATTGTCCGAAAGGTATGCCATAGAGTTCTCCTTTTGTACGTATTCAGGGTGCAAAGTGATGAATTCTGTGCAATGAACAGTCAGGAATGCTGTAAACTTGAAGCATAGATAGTGATACCTTTAACGGTGGCCCAAAGTGTAGTTATTGTCGGTTCCCACTCAACCAGCGATATCGTGAAACCTGTATGCTTTGTCCGCATTCATTGGTACTCGCAAGGGGCATGTACGAACCATATATCTTGTCATTTTCCTCCATGTAAACGAATGGGTCATAGTTGAGGTCACAAAAATATCGAACCCCAGGCCTGGCAAGCATACACATTAGAAGATTTGATGCGATACGGTACTAGAATGAACGCACTCGACTCTGGAAATTTGATCAGTGGCCAAGCAATAATGAAATTATGAAGAGACTTACCGCCAATAATACCGGTACGGCTGCAGCAGCTCATGTTTAAAGAAGAACTTCACTCGAACTAAGTGCGAAAGAAATGGCCAGGCAAGTGACGTCTACTTACTCCGGAATTGAAGCGGCACATATTGCGATAACTAGTCAAATTATGAGGCTTTGATCCTGTATGACGACGCGCAATACACATACGGCACACTGTCTGCAAACCAAATGACTGGTTTATATTGAATGTATTCGATGAAAGGCTCATACTGACCAGCATAAATAATTCCCTGAGACTTTAACTGCGAGCGGCCGCGCTCCGCCCGTTCCTCGTCTATCCAATGAGGTTGAAACCAATGTTGTTTCGGGATCAGACCAAAGGACACTGGTGCATCTGTAAGCACGGATACCCGCCTGAGCAGTTGAGTCCATCATCCCTCTTAGATTTTATGGAAGGCTTACTTTTTGAACTCGTCGGTGAATGGTTCCTCATTGAGGAATACCCACGGATAATGATAACGTCTATTAAAGCGATCCTCCATCTGCTGTACACTTGAAACAACACTGTTGATATCGCTATTCCTACAAAGAAAAACAAATGTGGCATTTGCTCTGCGATGATCGGAAGGTAGTATCGGCGATTCGAGGGTGACATTTTGGAGAGATCCACTCTTCTGAAGGTGGCTCAGTCGCTCTCTCAGATTGCTTAGATAGGACAGCCGTGCGTAGTCATCATAAAGCATGCCCAAGATATAGTGTATGGCAACCTGTTAAAGTCCATGTTGTTCTGTGTGAAATTTTAGGTATTGATATAGACTGACCACAGCAGCAATGATTAGCAAGACAAAACGTTTTGGATTTGCCACAAGCATTACAAAATGGCAGATCAGGCAGAAGTGGGAGAGGGAGAAGATGCTCTTTTGCTGGCTTGCTGACAGGGTAATCAGGCTTTATGAATATTGTACAGGTGCGCGGAGCAGAATAAGACAAGTGGGGGAAGCGTTCGAAACTCGACAGGACAGATATTAATAGGAAAATTCCAATTCTGGCGCGATTGCCTGCCTGTGACCGCACTGCGGAGAGGACTGCGGCGCTTGACCATGATAAAAAGCAATGTAACATGTGTTGGATAGCTATAGCTTTTGGGCTTGGCAAAGATCGTGTGACTGCGGATAAAAACCACGGTTGCTAGTTGATCAATAGCCACGGGGCTGGCAGATTCCGTGCGAAGATAATACGTGTAGTATAAGGTAGGGCTCAAGCACAACGTGTTATGCGTGACAAGGAGAAAAATCTTAATAGCCCTTGCTCATTAAAGTTTAATAAAAATTGGGTCGCGCAGATGTCTAGATATAACTGATTATAAGAGGTCTGTGCAATTAGATTTTTGATTTAGTTTGAATTGAGATGGCCATTACAAAAAATCTATCGTGTGACATAGGCATGTTGTGCTTGAGCCCTACCTTATTAGAAATTGGAGAACTGTGTGTTTTCCTACTTGATCGCGCCGTTCGTCGGTGCAGGGCCGGCGGTGGTTTGTCACTGTTTGTCCCTTTTTTTCTCGCTGTCACTCCTTCCTTTGACCTACGCACCTTCCCGTCATGGCTTCCTCGTCGACCTCCGACGCGTCTCCCGATAGCTACGCGTCCCCTCCATCCAAGGGTTTCTTCGGTCCCATTACCAATGCTTATAATAGTTTCTCCGCTTGGCGGTCGGGGCTAGATTTACCCCAACCCGGGAATGTCGAGAACCTTACAAAAGAAATCAAAAGTATGTTTGGTTAATCTTCGTCTTTCCCCTTCGCGTGTTTAAATGGACTCTTAGCTACTCATCTGACAAACTACTTGTTCGATGGAGCAAGAGCCGACCTGACCAAGAGTCTGTCTATGAACCCATTGTTCCAAGTAATGCATTCGTTCGCTCTTGGTTCACAGGCGCAGCCTTCGTCCTACAACTTTGGCGCTGTCTTTGCTAATACAAAAGTATGTGTTCCGGCGGGATACTCGTTGTGCAATGATCGATTTGATTTCAGGTATTCCTCCAAGGAGGAGTTGACCATGACGGGAACGTCAATGCTCGAATGAATCATGGCTGGACTCCAAATAATGTAACAAAATTACAGGCACAGGTGTGTTCCAGCCTTTTCAAATGGCAACTCAGCTTCAACGTCCATGTTAGATCTCAACGCAAGCGGGCCATAATATGATTCAAATGGAGCAGGACTATCAAGGACAAGATTATAATCTTAATCTCAAGGCCGTAAATCCTTGGCCGACAGATCTCACAGGTATCTATATTGGAAGCTACTTGCAATCTGTCACGAAGAACATCGCGCTGGGTTTCGAGACGCTGTACCAGCGCCCTTCACCAGAAATGTCCGAGATAAATTCATCTTACGTCGCAAAATATACAAGCACAGACAAGGACTGGATTGCAACTGCACACATTCAGCCTGCTGGTATGCTTCAGGCAAGCTATTGGCAAAAGTTGAGCGAGAAAGTTGAGGTTGCTGGTGATCTTCAGGTTATGGTTGCCCCAACTCGCAGAGATGCCCTCGCCACGCTGGGCGCAAAATATGATCTGAGATTGTCGACGTTCAGGGCACAGCTTGATTCCACAGGAAAAGTCTCTGCTTTGCTTGAACAGCGGTTTACCCCGTCGTTTTCCTTCTTGGTGTCAGGAGAAATCGATCATTTCAAGGCGAGACAAACGATCTGGATTTTTTACGTTGCTGACTCGCTTTCTAATAGAATGCAGCGAAAGTTGGCGTTGGTGTGATGATTGAGAGTTCTTCCCTCACACCCGAAGAAATGGGCATGCCTCCTCAGCTATAGTTGTCGTTACACCCCCCACTACATATATATATTAGAATTAATCCCTGAAACTTTGCAATTAAGTTTGGCTAACGACGCACGATGAGGGTTGGTCGTGACCCAAATCGCTTTTCCTCCCATCAAATAACAATAGATTACAAGATGTCGCCAATCAAACAAGCCCGTGTAGCTCAGCGGTAGAGCATTGTACTTATGTGGTTATTGAGTGACTCAAGCAGTCAGAGATGCAAGGGTCTCGAGTTCGAATCTCGGCATGGGCATATTTTTTGTTGTTCGATGGCTTAACATTTATTGTAAGCGATTACTATACAACATTACTTTAAGTAGCACCGGGACGCACGCCATCTGTATGGGGTGTAAGCCGTGCAGATAATGTCTCAACCAACTTGAGAGTGAGAGACAATCTCTTCCACAACATCTGATACATCTCGGTATTGCGTTCTTGGAGGAGCGCCTGGATATTGTCCCTCATACTGCTGAGCATTGGCTTGATGGCGGAGCGTGCCGCTTCCAAAAGAGGATCATGGATGCTCTGGACGATAAAGTCGATCTGCGGTAAGGTTGGAGATACGGAGGGAGACGGTGGTCTTGCCACATGCGCAGCATGTGCAGCCTCCAACGCCTCAATAGCCGTGACAAACTGGCTGCGTCCTTGTGTTATCTGGTAAACCTTTTCTTCAAGTTGGGTAATTCTTGTTCTGTGGGGGAGTCAGCACGTAGAAGGGTATGAAAAAAGGATCAAACTAACTGAGTGTCCTTAATTTTCTTATTCGTCTCTGCAATGTCTGCCTTAAACCCGTCGTTGTCTAATATAAGACGTTCTATATCCCCTGCCAATTCACCAACATCGTCCCCAGTGGAGTTGATACTTTGCTCAAGTACCTTCACTTTATCTTCTACCGACTGAACGTTCTTGCCTACTTCCGCGGCAGTTTCTTCAAATCTAGTGTCAATGTACTCCTTGTATTCTGTCACCAAATCGTTGCGGGAAGCATTCTGATCGTTCTGAATGCTAGTGATTGTACCGTGCATTGCGAGTACCCGGTCGCGCAATTCCTCGTACATCTCGACGGCCTGTCGCTCCTGCTCCGCTCCGTCTTCTTCCACCCGCGCCCGTTTCAATGGGCGACTAGAGTCGCCTTTATGGACCTCGCTTGACGGAACGATGGAGATCGACCGTGACAAAATACGGTTAATCTCTTCTGCACCGCGCTGCAAGTCTTCGCAATACTTGATCATTTTGCTCAAACTTTCCCGGTTTTCGTTCTCGGCTGGCGGAGCGACTGGCCAACTGTCGATTGCTATTGTTCGACTGAGAATGACATCATAATTTTTCCGCGCCTCTTCACGTTGCGATTCCAATGCTGCCAACTTGGCTTCAAAAGCTTGCCTGCTTGGACCAGTAACATTAGTGGCAGTCGGTCCAAATGATGATAGACGTTTGATAAGATTAATTTCTTGGTCAAGCTTTCCAAGTTTAGTACGTTGCTGAAGACTATCGCTGAGGAGTCTACGAATATGGCAAAAAGTGAGCGATCAAAAGTCAAGGGAATGAATACTCACTGAACGCGTTCTGCCCAGGCTTTACGCTTTTCATCAAAAGACATTTCAGGCCCGTGGAGGAGATTGCTTTACTGATAGGAGAGTCGGTGGGGTTGGAAGCAAGGGTAATGGCAACAGTTGCTGCATCGCTCCCGGCGTGGGCTGCATGGATTTTGCCAGCTGTGCACGCGGCACCTGAACAGCGGATGGCGTAGGCTGCATGCTCACCCCTTGGTTTCCGACCATGTTGAAGCCAGAAGAGGAAGCAATGGAATCGGTACGAGCACGAGTATCACGTAATTGATCGGACAAAGGGTCATTCTGGCTAGGCCCAGCTCGAGGTGGTGGGGGCGCAAAGCGAGGCATAGTGGGTGAAAGTGGAGGCTTGCGAACAGGCGAAGTGCGGAACGGTGACTTGGGTTGTAACGTCGAGGGCTTCGACTTCTGCTGCGGCGTGTCATGCGGCCCAACAGCGTAGGACTCCGAGATCTACGTCTCACTCTATCTGGAGCACCGTCGAATGTAGAACGTCTCGGTGCTCGATGATAGGGAGGGAGATCATCCCATTCCGCCTCTGAGGGATGGACGAAGTCGCAAGTGTCCACTGTGTTTTTGCATCTGGTGCGCGTAGGATCGCCATTGTCGTCAAAGTACTGAAGCGGGAGCTGATAAGTTTTCGGTTTTAGGATGTTGCTTCAGATAGACACGCACTCGACATCGAATTCGTTTTCGCAATCTTGTGGCCATCATCGTCAAAGTGCTTGATGGGTGTCGACAATCAAATATTTGGATTCAATTCAAATCATTACGCAAAGTACTACTAGTCCACCCTCGTCTCGATCAATCCTCCCAGACATTTATCAGCTCCGACTGGTGTGTCATCACCGCGACATCCTTTCTTATTGGATGAAGTCGCGGATACACGTACTGATCGACAAGATCAGTGAAATATGTTTTAAACAGTAGGAAGGATCATACCCCTTGGTTATACTCATGAAGCACCTCTGACGCAATCAGTGCCTTATCTTTCAAAAGGACATTGAAAGCACGTATTACTGTGTTCAGCTAGGGCACCAATCAGCACGACCAGGAGGATCGAAATGAAGAACGTACCTGGAATGACACCAGAAACATGACAAAAAACATTAGTATCCAATTCGTAATGCTCGTCGCCATCCAAAGGAACGGATGCACGGGTGAATATATGCTAAACAACATCAGTTCTAGTTCACCAGGATTCCACACCTGCAATTCTTGCACGCGAGTGGTCTTGCCCGATAACGAGTTAAGCGGTGCGGGTTGTTGGATTCCCAACAAGAAGCGCCAAAAGTAAGCGAATGCGCGCCAAGCACCTGACCCTAGGCGCCCGGTGACAGAGATAGGCACTTCCGGTTCTTGGTCAAAATTGGCGGAAGTAAACTTGGCGTTAGGGGAAGATAAAGGGTCCGGTTGACGGTGAAAGCGGTAAACCCTAGTACGAGAAAATAGATAAATTGCATTGGCGAAAGTTGTGGCAACAAGGAGACAGGACAATGGGAATGTCTAGCAGAGAAATGTGAATAAAATGACGGTTGTAGGTAAGAAGATACCAAACCCAGTCAAACCACGATTTATTTTCTTCTTGATACATATCCTCCCAGCCGAGATCAGATTCTGGGACTCGTCTGCTTTGGCTAAAACGAATGCAAAAGTGTAGGAGGTGCAGTACGGCACCAATAATGCGCGCAGAGGTCTTCGGGGAAGGAAGGGGAACATTATGAGGAAAGAGTGCAATCTGAAAGGCAATAGACGACGGAATGGAAGTGATACTGGACACTATAAATAAACGTGCTCAGCAGAGGCAAGATGACTCTTACCGTTCTATTAAACCTTTTTTTCGAACAATGGCCTTTCTGTGCTGAGAGCCAGGGGTCTGAGCAACAGTGGTCTTTCTTGTTCTGTTCTGAAATGGTGTTCCATATGGTGGTGATTTTCTGGAACGCGCTGCTTCCCAGTCAAATGGTATAGAAGAAGAAATGGAGGGTGTAGCGGCAGGAGACCTGTAAGGACTGAGTATTACTGGCTTATTGCGCGGAGTAACTGGAATAGTTGGAGAGTTCGTAGAGGCCGCATAATTTTCTTGTGCAAAGCGGCGAAAGGCCATCTCTGCGTGTTTGGGGCACGCGTTCGCCGTCTACTCATGGAAGCGTGTGAATTTGTGATTCGTGACACGTGACAGACCACGTGGAAGTTGAACAATGTAAATGGAAATTTTGGATGGGAAGCGCGTCACCTTGTTCTTTTCCCCTCATCTTGTTGTCTGGCGTATACCAGCAACTACTATTCTCCCGCCCCCTCTTATTCACAACAACGGCGTCTATTCTACGCCCAGCTACTACCACATCCTTGTCGCCTAGCTCGTCGATTAGCGGTGAGTTGCGATTCGCTATTTTCCACATTGTTTACTCAGTTTTATTGTATCTAGCTCGGATGGCTCAACCCTCTTCTTCTCATCGTGGCGAGCGTCAACACCGAAGTGATCGCGAGCGCGAGCGCTCTAGCAGACACCACCGTACTATCTCATCAACAACTCTACTGCTTGTTCTATCGCTTGTGTTAGCTGTCCTTGCTGTCATGCTTTCTTTGCCGTCTGGTTCTGCGTCCTCTGGCGAAGGGTCATCTATGCTGAGTTATCTCAGCCCCAAACGTACTCAGGCGCTCATTGCGCGTGAGAGCGCCGTCGCCGTCCGTGAAGCCGAAGTTGCTCGCCGTGAGGCTGAGTTGCTTGTTGGTGCTCCAGGTGGTGTGATTCCAGCGCAGCCTTCTCCCATTTCCTGTCCGACATACCAGCCGTCAACTGTAACGGAAACCCTCAGCTCTCCAACACAAACGATAATAAAGGAAATTGTCAAGGAGGATTCCCTTGCGCCTGCCGGCTGGGCTGGACCTCGCGCTGAGGAACTGCTCGACCGTGAGCTTAGAATTGCTGAGAGGGAGAGAGAGATTAGCAAACGCGAAGAAAATGTGAACCGTAGGGAACACGACGCGTCTCGACGCGAATCTTGGATTATGGAACAATTGATGTAAGTTGTCTTGTTATACTTCGCTACAGCGCTGACATATATGAACAGCTCGCTTGGAAATGACGTTCCACATGCTGTGGAAGAAGAATACGTATATGAGCCGGCGGGAGCGAAGCGGAAATCCAAGGTACCTCCGCCCCCTCAGCGCCGCTTCGAGCTCTGAGACGAAGGAGGAGGTCATACCATGTCGAGTCCGTACATTCCCTCCTTCGTCGGGCCTCTGTCCTCTTTTGGTGGTTCGATCGCGTTTGACGGTTGATCGATCGGGGACCGCGATCATCGCACGTGGCCGTCACTACTTTGTTTGTCATTTTATTGCCGAATTGCTGACTTGCCTTTTTTGCAGTTTCCCGCTGTTATTGCCGAAACTCAATATGAAACTGAAACAAAAATCGTCGTCCAAACTGTAACCGTTCCTCCACCTGCCAATACTCGCCTTGCTCCTCCTCCTTACCCTGAATCTGCATCTTCGCTTTCAACTCCCTCAAGTCCTCGTACCACCTCCGTACTCGAGATGGTTGAAGATGACGAAGATGAAGACCCACGTTCTCGTGGGTCGCGGACAGCACGTAAGCCCCCCTCACGTTGGTTGGGTGGTTGGTAAAGGCCCAGTATCGTTTCTTCTTCCTGCTTCTTGTCGTTCTGTCCCCTTTTTG